AAATCGACGAGGTCAACAATCATTCATAATGGTGACAAAATCACGGAGGCCGGGTTTACATGTTGCTGCATGCATGTTGTGTACACTGATTGTCTCATTCGCATCGTTTTTTTCATTCAAATCTCGTCACAGCAAGGCAGCTTATGTCTGTGCAAAACAATGCAAGGGACGGGTGGAAACAGAAAAATCTCATTATGTCTAGCCATTCAATAAAAAAAACAGTGTTCAGAAAGTTGGTGGACCTGCACAAAAATTTGGTGTTCTGCTTATTTACTAGCAGTGAGTAACAAAATAGTATATAAAGATAACCATTGGCATTAAAACAGCATACATGTAACTTAATTAGAGTTGGTCAAATAATGTTTCAATCTCTAGGAATGTCGGGGGAGCTTCTGGGTAAGGTTTTACTTTCGTTTTTCTCCTCCCCAGTCCACAGTACCCCCATGCATAGATCTATCAATGCTGCCGCACATCCACAAAGTTACAAGTGCCTAGAATCTTTAAGTATATACAGTTCACATTGCTTCTAGATATCTAACTGAATAAAAACAGTCCACTTTCTACGTTAAGAAAAGTGACGAATTCAGTTAACAGCTTTGATTACGTGCGTGTCAGGTGTCACTGGTCATGCCCTCACTCCCCACAGTAACCCCTGCGATATAAAAACTTATTGTTATGCGATCATAAAAACACTGGGCTGCCCTACATGCCGGGCGATGCCGCAATCGGTTTCTTAAACTGTCGCGAGTTTTTGTTCGTGTGGCGAATCATGCGTTTAGGGAGTTCATGCAGCTCTAGACGTTTTGGAAACCCCGGCTACGTTGAGGACTGGGTCGTATTATGCGCTCCCGTTTATAAGTTTGTCTAAACTGCCGTTGCGATAACCGTAGTATTTCAGCGTAATATGAGGGGAAAAAGTGCCTCTCTCTCTCTCTCACGCACACACACACTCAGCAATCAGCAGAGCGTCCCGTTGCGCAATCATGCGTGTACGTGTCGCAAGATCACTGTGTGAGATGGATGTTCGGACGCATAGCCTAGCAGCTCCTTGTCCGAAACCGGTCGCGTAGCCAATATAATAATTAATATATCACACACACAGTGACACACGCACACATGATATATTATTTTATATTATATAATATATATATATACAACACAAGAATACAATACAAAGAGTGTCCATATAATACAATACACAATGGGTCTGTCATGTCTTCTAATCTAGAGACTAGACTAGCGCCCAATTAACTTAGGCAATTTCGTGACACTGCACAGGCCATAGCTCCAAGAAACGGTATTGCTAGGGTTAGAATATAGACAATCCATCGCACGGCCTGGTCGATTCAAGGATAGAGAACATGGGTCCCAATAAAACCAATGTCATTTACATCAATATGAATATAATATTATATCAATATAATAGGTTAGGGTTATGGTTAGGGTTTGGGTTAGGGTTAGGGTTAGAATCAGCCTAAAAATAACTTTTTTTTTACGAGAGCTCTTTTTTGATTTTGTATGAAAAATCAGCTCTCGTAATTTTTTTTACGGGAGCTATTTTAGGCTTGGCCAGAGCTAATTTTTCATAGCATGATTTTGTTAAAATTTTCATCATTTTGATGCACTGACTCTAATAATGTCTTACAACCCAGAAATTGTGTCTAATTATCGTAAAGGTGTTTCCCAAACGAAAGTCAAGATTATGCTTTGGCGAAATCGACGAGGTCAACAATCATTCATAATGGTGACAAAATCACGGAGGCCGGGTTTACATGTTGCTGCATGCATGTTGTGTACACTGATTGTCTCCATTCGGCATACGTTTTTTTCAATTCACAACATCCTTTCGTCGCAGCCAAGGCAGGCTTAGTGTCTGTGCAAACAATGCAAGGGACGGGTGGAAACAGAAAATATCTCATTATGTCTAGCCATTCAATAAAAAAAACATTGTTCAGAAAGTTGGTGACCTGCACAAAATTTGGTGTTCCGCTTATATTTACTAGCAGTGAGTAACAAAAATAGTATTATAAAGATAACCATGTGCATTTAAAAACAGCATACATGTAACTTAATTAGAGTTGGTCAAATAATGTTTCAATCTCTAGGAATGTCCGGGGAGCTTCTGGGTAAGGTTTTACTTTGTCGTTTTTCTCCTCCCAGTCCACAGTACCCCCATGCATAGATCTATCAATGCTGCCCGCACATCCACAAAGTTACAAGTGCCTAGAATCTTTAAGTATATATATACAGGTTCACATTGCTTCTAGTATTCTAACTGAATAAAAACAGTCACTTTCTACGTTAAAGAAAAGTGACGAATTCAGTTAACAGCTTGATTACGTGCGTGTCAGGTGTCACTGGTCATCGCCCTCACTCCCCCACGTAACCCTGCGATATAAAAAACTTATTGTTATGCGATCATAAAAAACACTGGCTGCCTCTACATGCGGGCGATGCGCGCAATGCGGTTCTTAAACTGTCGCGAGTTTTTGTTGCGTCGTGGCGAATCATGCGTTTAGGGAGTTCATGCAGCTCTAGCGTTTTGGATACCCCGTCTACGTTGAGGAACGGGTCCTATTAAGGCCTATTTACACGATGCGTTTTGGAGCGTACGTTCTAGACGTACGTCAGACGCATACGTCCAAAACGCACCGTGTAAACTATGCGGTACGACACGGATTTTATGACCGTTGGCGCAATATCGGATGCACAGGACGCATGTTCTAAAATTCATCCGACATCGTAACGCAGGACCGCAAGAACCGACAATCAGGTGGGCGAGATTGGGTCACGTGCTTGGGTCAGCGAGTTGGGTCAGCGTCTCTTCGCGATGAAAAATGTTGTATCGAGATGAATCATTACTATGGGATGTCCACAACTACCATAAAAGTAGTGTGCCGTGTGTGTGTGCGTGTGTGTGTGTGCGTGTGTGCGTGTGTGGGTGCGTGTGTGTGCGTGTGCGCGCGTGTGTGTGTGTATGTGTGTGTGTGTGTGTGTGTGTGTGTGTGTGTGTTGTGCGCGCGGCGTGCGCGCGTGTGTGTGTGTGTGTGTCTGTGTGTGTGTGTCTGTGTGGCGCGGAGCGCGCCGTGCGTGTGCGTGTGCGTGTGTGGTGCGTGCGTGTGTGGCGTGTGTGTGCGGGCGCGGAGTGTGTGTGTGTGTGGGTGGCGCCGTCTGCGTGTGTGTGTGCGTGCGTGTGTGTCTGTCTGTGTGTGTGTGTTTCTGTGTGTGCACGCGCGCGCGTGTGTGTGTGTGTGTGTGTGTGTGTGTGTGTGTGTGCGCGCAGCGCCGCAGGTGTGTGTGTGTGTGTGTGTGTGTGTGTGTGTGTGTGTGTGTGTGTGTGTGCATGGACACAGCCACTGTAAAATGTCGGCAGCAGCACGCGCTCTCTCGTTAAGTGGCGTACGCACGCACGGCACGCACCGCACGACGCACACACGCACACGCACACAGCGACACACACACAGCGATGTGCGTGCGCGTCTGCCTGAGTGTGTGGTGGCGTACGCGCACACGCCCACCACGCGACGCGCCGCGACGCGCACGAGCGCGCAACGGCGCCAAGCGCACGCACGCACGCACGGCACGCACGCACACACACACACACACACACACACACACACACCACACACACACAACACACAAATGCATGTATATATTGTTCTCAGTCCTGGACGTACGTCCAAAACTTACCGTGTAAACAGATTCACCGTTGCGCTCCTAGAGCGTACGTGCAAATCGGATAAGTCTGGACGTACGTCTACGACGCCATCGTGGTAAATAGGCCTTTATGCGCTCTCCGTTTATAAGTTGTCTAAGGCCGTTGCGATAAACGCGTAGTATTTCAGCGTAATCATGAGGGGAAAAAGTGCCAGTCAGGAGGACGCGACAGTTTCGTAGCAGATGGTGGCCGAGCAAAAACTTGGTGGCCCTCCGAATGTCGACTAATTTCGAACGCTGCAGGGCGGCACCGGAGCGATTTTTTTCGTCGTATCTTCCAAAATTTTCGCTCTCGTAATTGTTGTTACCAGAGCGCTTTGAAAGCTGACGGGAGCGAAATCGCTCGCCGCTCCCGTGTATTTTTTTCGCTGGTTAGAATTAGGGTTAGGGTTAGGGTTAGGCACATTGGTTTTATTGGGACCCATGTTCTCTATCCTTGGGCCGCCTGGTCGGGCTACACAGGCCACAGCGGTAAGAACTCGAAGATAAGATCATGACATTGACCGTGACGGTCGTGCAATTGGAAAAACAAAAATTTTCTTAATGCCAAAGCGTTTTACTACTATATAGTACTATAACAAGTGCCGCGGAGCGACAGCGCCTCATCCTAACGTCTACTGCGGTTACTCTGTGGTGGAGTGGTGGATTCTAGTAAACCCTGTTAGTCCCAAATGTGTTCACATAACCCGAAACAGTGGAATGCACAGGATAGTATCAGGAACCTTCTCAAGGAATGTTCGTTGGGTCATGTTATGAAAGTTGCCACGAGATGGCGCGTACGTTAAGTGTCTTCAGATTAAAGATGGAAGCTCCCATCGTACGTAGTAGCAACAACTATTTGCAAGACGAGAATAGGTAAGCACTCATCCATTTACCTACGAAAGCGCTACAGGCTGCAATAGAGAGCTGTCACCTGTAACCAATTAACGCAGGCAAAAACTACACAGTACCACCACCACATGCACTGGCAGTGGCAATACGTTTACATGTAACATACTGACAGTACAGAATGCCAAATAGAAATTATACGATTTAAGGAGCATATAACATTCTTCAACCAAATTTAGCTTTTGAAATTTCACTGTGACATTGTAGCCTCATACATCCAGGCATGTATAGATTCCTACTAGCAAACCCGGCAGTCAAATTCTTTCTAACAGACAGTAAACAAATCCATGTTTAACCCTCCTCTTGAGGGTCAGAAGGTTATCCGACACTTTACTCTTCGCATGTCAGCAGAAGGTACATTTCATGGTCCTTTCAATAAAGCCATAAAAATGCTAGTCACCGCTGAAACAAAAAAGTTTTTCAATCGCTCCATCACTCATCAGACCATGTCCTCAGAAAATGTCTAAAATCTGCCCTATGCCCATTGACCTTTGATGTGTGACCTCAATTTCGGCACAGTCGATGGCTTTTTCCTACATGATCGATGATGCCTATACACCGACTATCACGAGCCGTTTAGATTTGTGCCGCAATTCCGCATTTCTCCTAATACCTTAAGTTAAGGAGTGAATGTTCGCCCTTCTTTTACATCTCTTGACCTTTGACCTTGACCCCAGCTTCGACATCCCAACTCGTTTTGACGATTCCCCCAACGTCCCGAATATCGTGACCGTACGTCGAGCGGTTAAGATTTGTGCCACAACTGTTGACGGACGCAAGGACGGACGCTCGCACGGACGATCATGCGATTCTACAAGCTGCATCTGACTATGTCAGATGAGCTAAAAACCATTTGATACGCAAGGCACGACCATTTATTAAGATCCTCGGGTAAATTAGTTACCTTTCACGACTTGAAGTTCACAAACTCCGACGTAATGATGATGGGAACGATGGTCACGGGAAAGTCAGTTTGTGATTCACAACAGCTACGCAATCAACGCAATTTTACAAAATATTCACTCGTAAAAAATATCAATTATATATGAAATAATATATTTGCTGGATAATAAAATAATAATATTAAAATTAATTATATATTAAAATGTTTACCAGTTTTAGCCGCTCATTAAGTCTTTTTAGTTTTAACTTTTTTACGCGTAACTTCAGTAGTTACCGGGTACATTCTATATAAATCAGTACACCACTGGCGACCGGTCGTAGACAGTCATCGAGAGGTCACCAGAAACCGTCCAAGATGGGCGTAGTGTTAGTAACAGTGTGTTAGTAGGTTACTTGTTACTTTCAACAATCTCTGTGGCACGATAACGTACTTCTGTTCACCCCTAAACGAATTTCTGTGACAGCCAAGATCACAAACCGCGATCATGAGAAGCAGAAGCAATTCGGGAGTGAGACTTGATTATTATCAACACCTTCTGCACAACACGATATTGTGCCACCAGGTTAGCATACAGCAAATAAGACATAAATAATTAATATTAATAATAATATTATTAAACAAATTGAAATTAAAGTTTTATTATACGAAACTGTTAGAAGTGCAGATTATGATAATTAATCACTAGAAATGGAGCTCCCGTATACTTTGGCTGATAGGCCCACAGGGTCTATGTCCCCCGGCCCTGGGTACTGCGGAACGGTGCAAATCCACTTTAGGCACCTTAGGTATCACGAAGTGATGCACAGATTTATGTGTATCATCAACTGATGCACAGACTTTCCGTATATCAAGGAATGATGCAAAAACCCTTGCCATAACCCTAACACACTTCGTGATACATAAGCCTAAGGTTATACTTTATGACTTAGGGTTAGGGTTTTTGCATCATTCCTTGATATACGGAAAGTCTGTGCATCAGTTGATGATACACAGAAATCTGTGCATCAGTTGATGATACACAGAAATCTGTGCATCACTTCGTGATACCTAAGGTGCCTAAAGTGGATTTGCACCGTTCCGCAGTACCCAGGGCCGGGGGACATAGACGCTATCAGCCAAAGTATACCCCCCCTCCCTAGACTCGTTAGTGGAGTAGGCGAGGTACGGTCCGGCATAATATAATTTTTAGATAGTATTTAGTACCAGGGTACGTTCTGGCAGTACCCTGGGGGACATAGACCCTATCAGCTATACGCTGGGATGCCGTACGCATTGTCACTCATATCAACAGGCACCATTTCAATAATAAAATGATTGATACAATATGATAGGCCTACTGATAGTGATTAAATGGATACCATCTTCCTTGGTTTATTTAACATAAAGGATGACTGCTACCTGGAACACACAGATACAGTATAATGATTAGTTAGTGATAGTAAATAAACGCGAAATGTGTATACTACCAGTTCCAGTCTTGATATTAATCTATTTACTCTTGCCTATTATCGTTAAGAGTTTTCCATAAATGTAGTTCAGATGCTCTTCTGCAACACGCAATTTTTAGTCTACAGAAAGATAGAGCAGAAGAAAGGCTGAGCGCCAAATTCGCACAACGATCGCTTTATTTCAGACTAACACTGCAAAAATATACAAACAAACGCCCGCATTCGTGTATCTATGCATAGCTGAATGTTCACTCCTTCAAATTATCACCCTTACACTTGGATAGAAGATAATCTACCCATTTTCAAAGGATCCCTTTAAGTTAAAGGGACAGTAGCCTCTAGGATTTTACTGCATACAACTGTACTTACTGTATAACAAATCGTCTATACCCACATGTATTTGTCACCAGATACTTAATTAATTATTTACACATCAACGCTACGAAATTTGAACGGCGCCATGAAACCCGCAACCGTGCTGCCACCCTGAAAAAGTTGCATTTTTATTTTGCAGGTAAATGACCGAGGGCTAATCACAAAAGTGCAATTATATTTATACCTAAATGCTATTTAACCGAACGATATTCATTTTAGGGCAAATTTATCCATATTATAACTGAAACTATATGTCGTTTATAAGATATTACAATCCTTTTGCTAAAATATGAAATGAATAAGAAACACCCTCGGTCTGTAGCCCTTGGCTGGAAAGTGGTTTTGTGCAACTTATCAGATCGTGGCGTTTGAGTGGCGCCACGTCGTGTTGTAATCAACTGTAGTCGTTAGTTTTAAAACATTTAAAAAAAATATTTCTAATGGTGATTGAACCATGAAACTTTTTATGTCAATTATAACCTAAATTAGCTGAAAATAACCCTAGAACCTAGAGGCTACTGTTCCTTTAAGCTTCTTTTTTTTGACATTCCATATTGGAATTATCTTCCTCCCTCTGGTAATTGCAACAAAAAAAAATCTCCTATGATTCGCAGTGTTAATCTTTTTATTTTATCAACTTTGTCTCTTTCCATCTTCGATATAATCCCTTGGACTTTGACGACTACTCTTTATGAGGTTATGATAGAAATCTAGTAAATTCCTGCAGAAAACTCCCACTCGATGGCAATGTAAATGGGAGCATGCAACTGCTTGTGTACACATGAGAAATGACAATGCCTTACACTCTGGGTTCAAGCGCTCCCTGCTTCCGAGCTCCATGACAAGCGCTGCTACTCATTTCTAAGCCAATTAAGCTGGCATGATTTACGCAGCAATGTCGGTGACGTCACCCACATGACTATATTCGTTGGCCAAACAGTCGAGTAGTGTTGTTAGGGAGTTTCGAATAATAAACAGGCACTTGCTTCTATTTACATTGCCATAGAGTGGGAGTTTTCTGCAAGATTTTACTAGATATCTCTTGATAAAGTATGTTGTAGCATATGGTAAAAGTGATAATTCGAACAAGTGAACATTCGGCTACACATAGATGCGAATATAGAGGTGGTTGGTTGTGTATTATTGTTGTGATGATGTGAAACGAAGCGAGCGTTATGTGAATTTGGTGCTCAGCTTTACCACCTGCTCTATCTTTTTATGAGTTTGTGGAGAGTCTGAGTGGTGCTAACTAGTGCGCTATTTAGTGTGTCACGTAGGAGCATTTAAACGGCATTTACATTGAATATTAGTCATTAGAGAATGCATAAACGTTGAGACTTTGGTTGTAAATACAATTTTTGTTTATTTACAATAATTTTATTGTTAAAACGGTCCAAGTGCCTGTGCAGTATACTGCATGTACACCGGAGTTTGCTTTCATCTGAAATCTGTCTGTGTATCTAATCAAAGTAGTATTCTATGAAAGAATTTTGTGCATAAAAATATTTTGACAAGATAAACTCAACACAAAAGCTGCATTGAGTTTCAATGTTTACATCAGGAAAAGCCCCCTCACGTTTGTGCAGAGTAATATTCACAGATCGACTCCAGATTCCTGACTTCTCTGTGTATATATATCTGTGGAATACATATAGGTGGGAATACAAAATAGTACGTAAATAAGCCAAATTCTATTAACGAAAGTCAGTTTGATTAAAGTTTAGTATTTTCTAAATGTTCTACTTTGCCATGAGATTTAAAAAAACAGTTTTATGTCATTGTTGCATAACGTATTATAGCTGATAGGGTCTATGTCCCCCGGGGTACTGCCGGAACGTACCCTGGTACTATCTAATATGCCGGACCGTACCTCGCCTACTCCACTAACGAGTCTAGGGAGTCGCCTACGTCTACTCCCTAGCCCTAACCCGAACCCGAACCCGAACACTAACCCTAACCCTAATCCTAACCCTAACCATATCAAAAAGTGACCAGGGTACGTTCCGGCAGTACCCTGGGGGACATGGACCCTATGAGCCGTATTATATTACAGGCAAGTGAGCATGCACTAATCTGAATCCAGATGGTGCTGTAGAGCTGTGCTGCCTGCACACGATTAAGTAAATTTTGAAGGAACAGGTGGTTTATTTACATTTTGGGAGCTATATTTATCAATTCACAGGGCTTGTTTTTGGTGAATGTGGCATTTTTGCAACATTTTTGTTTTGCAATCACGAAATGGTAGTGTATATACGAAAATATATATGGCAGCTTTTCATCGAGGAATGTAATTTCAAAGTATATTAGCTGTTTTTAGCAAATTCTTCTAAATTGTTGAAATTTGTTTAACAAGTAGAATAGTATTTAACAAGTTATAAAAGAGAACAGTGTTACTCTGGACACGTAGACGGCTTGTCACTGAATCCTATTTTCAAGGATTGGTAGGTATGAGAAGTCAATAGCTACCTCCCCCACCACCTGTTGTTTGTCAATTGTTACTGCTACTGAGAATTGTTTTCGTTCAAGTATGCTAAGGTTTTATCACATTTGATATACTCTAGTAATGTAAAAACTTATTGTCCTCCATCACTTAACTCATTTCCACCTAATCTGTTGTTTAAATCGACTGGAATATCAAACTCTGACTTATACTAATAGAGGAGAGAGAAAGGTTGAACCACAGAACAAATCAGGTTAAATGGACTTATTCTGTACCTCATAACAGTAGGAAAAACATTCACAAAACTGGTTATTGTGTGAATTTCTTTCAGCATCCAGTGACAGGATTGTTACCTGCATCCCCAAATCAGCCTCATGCATGGGTTCGGGATAACGTTTATGCGGCCATGTCGATTTGGTCGCTTGCTATGGCTTACAAGAAAAATGCTGACCTAGATGAAGATAGAGCTAAAGGTTATGAACTAGACCAGGTAAATACCATCATTGATTCTTAATTTGATTGTTTGTATTGTATTAATAAGAATGGATGCAAGGCTAGAAAAATGTGTGCAACAAACATTACTGTACACGTGAATATAACAATAATTTTAATACAATGTTTTAAACGTTCCAACAAATTTTCCCATGTATCAAATGTCTGGTTACATCAACACCGAACTATAAGAGATGTAATGATACACTATAAGGTCACGATAAGCTTTGTATCTCGATACGCAGTTCACGATACGAATACGATACGTATCGCGGTACGCATACAGAAAGTGAGATGCTGTAAATTGTATGTCATGATAACGTTTTCATACCGTTTGTGAAATAATAATGTTAACTCTTCAAGTGAAAATTATATTTACATGTTTGTACATTTACATGTTTGCTGTATCGCGATTCACCGATACATCAGTGAATCGTTACATCCTTACTAATTATACTGTTTTAGGAGCCGATAAACTGCATGTGCTGCGTGACCAATAATTATGGCTGTTTACTGCATTCTAGTTATTAACCATAGAGAGAAGCTAAAGGGTAATATTTTACTTCTAGCTCCGACTGGAACATGTATGGGAGCTTAATTAGCAACAGCACTATTCTTAGGTTTATTTTTAAGGTGAGATTGCTGGTCTTACCATGGACAGCCTACATATGTAGCGAGGGGTGGCCAGATCATCTGTGACAAAAGTGACTGTGTCCTATGATGTCAGAATAATGTGTTATGATACTGACAGCAGGCCCGAGTTCTGGCTGCAGTTCTAACATGGAGCTTCTTGTCATGTTTCTGTGCAGAGCGTCGTTAAGATCATGCGCGGCCTTCTGATGTGCATGATGAATCAGGTGGAGAAACTGGAGAAGTTCAAGTACAGCCAGAGTCCGCGAGATGCGCTGCACGCGAAGTACTCGAGCGCCGACTACAAAACTGTCGTCGGTGACGGGGAGTGGGGCCACCTGCAGATTGACGCCACTTCCCTCTACCTGCTGCAACTGTCACAGATGACCGCTTCAGGTAGTGTGGCAGTCTGAATCATTTCGAATGTGTTCCTTGGACTTTGCAAGTTTAGCTAAAAATCTAAATTCAGGAAGAAAATGTTGAAGGGAAATATTTTCAAGCTAGTGTTTTTACTCTTTTCTTTGTTTACAATGATGTGAACTTATATGATTGACTTATCAAAGCTGAAAATAGGATATGAGTAGTATTAGTGAGGTGTTACAAAAATATAATTAAAGTACTGGACCTGGTATGCAATGATGTTTTGCAAACCCAACACATCAACCATGAAAATACATGATGTTGACTGTAACACCTATATCTGTAAGAATATAATTATAACAATGTGGATTGTCTGAGCATAATATTGCTAATCTTAACGTAGATCATTCGAGAATATAGGTTAGTTTATATAACTATACTAGCCATTGAGAGTTTTTCATGCATGTTATTTATATTTTCATCCCATAGGGCTTCAGATCATATTCACTCTGGATGAGGTTTCATTTATTCAGAATTTGGTATTTTACATCGAGGCTGCCTATCGTATCCCAGATTATGGTATTTGGGAACGTGGTGATAAGACAAATCATGGACTACCTGAGCTGAATGCGAGCTCAATAGGGATGGCAAAGGTATGCTTGAGACTATTGGTAAATTATTGTGTTCATGCACTAAGCAATACATATTTTCAAGAGCTGATAGCACTTCTATAAATTCTTCTGATAACACTAATAGGTATTATCAACTTTTGGTATGTTGTAGATGCATACCTTAGGCTTGGTGTATGCAACTCTTCTCGGACACATTAACACTACTGTAGTCACATAAGGTTAGAATCTATGTCCTCTCCTTTTTGCATGAGCTGTAGTTGCCATAGTGACCCACCAAATAGCACGTGGTGCTTTAACACGATTCTTGTAAATGCAGGCTGCGTTGGAGTCGATTAATGATCTGGATGTGTTTGGAGCGAGGGGCGGACCCGCATCTGTGATTCATGTCATGGCCGATGAGGCGCAGCACTGTCAGGCTGTGCTAGCATCAATGCTACCCAGAGAATCGAACTCTAAGGTGCTGCTTGTATGACTTGTTTAGATGAGTGAAGTTTGTACATTAGTTTTTTCGTGTCAGATTGTTGATGTGTATAAATTTATAAGGAAAACGAACTTTTTACGTGGTGTGAATTGCTGTATCAAAACTAAAATTAGTTCCTTTTAAATAGTGTACTTACAAATGTTTATATATAGTGTTTCCCCTGCATTGACACGAGCGAGGCGGGCCGCCTCGCTCAAATTCTCAGCCGCCGCACAGAAATTTGTCCAAAACACCGCCTCTCTGACGAAAATCATTGTTCTTCCATAGAACAGTGCTGATAATGCATCAAAATAGCGTAGAATGCACCAAATTGCACCATTTTTACAAATAATTGTTGGTGGGCATGCCCCTGGACCCCCCTAGCTGGGCGAGCACCTGCGCTGCTTGCTTTGCTAGGACCTTGCAATGCGCAAACACACCAAGAAAATTTTACCACCTCACAGACCTTTTTGGCCAGGGGAAACACTGTATATATATATGTATATATATATGTATATATATATATATATATATATATATATATATATATATATATGCATTGATCAGTTATTTAATAAATAAACCTGCTTCAGCCAAGACATCTTAGCTAAATTGATTGGCATTGACAGTTTGTCAGTAGTTGGCTGCAATATAAAGTATATTGTTTGTGCAGGAAATCGATGCTGCTTTACTGAGCATTGTAGGCTTTCCTGCTTTTGCTGTTGAGGATCCAGAGCTTGTTCAAATGACCAAGGAGGCTATCCTCAGCAAACTTCAGGTACTGCATTAAAACTCCTGCATGAATCACTATAGCACTTTTTGGGGTAAAAAAAAATTTCAGGCAGCGCAAGTGTTGTCTTCTATTTGATCAGAGATTTTAGAGCACCCCTATATGTTGGAGGAATACCAAGGCATTTCCTAAAACTGAAGTTGTATCAACAGGCATGAGAATTTGTTGTGGATTTTTAGGAATTTGGTTATAAGTATCATTCTTGAGATCGATGCAGATCCATTGAAAAACTAGGGAGGGAGGTGTATATATATTAAGATGGAATAATTACTATAATTAGTGATTATTTACTGCCAATATATATACACATATATAGTATGCAGAGTGCAAAATTCACGTGTGTCAGGAGGCAAATACTGTTTTACTGACAGTCTCCGACGAGCATTTGCATCAAGAGGAGTCAAAATCTTAAAAATTGTAATGGCATTTGCACATGCATGAATATTTTACGTGCCACTGTTTTCACCCCGTGGTGCAAGTTGAATTATAGCATGGTTGCACTGCTCGCTGCACAGTGAGTGATGTTTGATGTGAGCGATTGCGGCGCAGGTGAGCAGTGTATGAGGCATGCCACGAAGATGTTCATTCTACTGACTCTTCAGTGTCAGTAAAAATGTGCATTTTTTTATTCAAAATTTTCAACGCGAGATCCTTCGATGTTTTGCAAAATAATTTAAATTAAGAAAAACAGGAAATTACAGATTCATCAGGCTGTCAGTGCCCTGGTGATATTTGAGCATTGTGCTAAAGTGCAGTTCACTCTTTTCTAAAACTAAAACTACAGTAATGATGTTTGAGAAAATTTCTTTCCATGAATGCATTTTTTTTACATATATTTATTGTTTGAGCATACGCAAAAATATGTATCCAAAAATGTGTTTAGCAACCATATGTACACTTTTCCAGGGGCGCTATGGTTGCAAGAGGTTTCTACGAGATGGGCACAAGACTGCAAGAGAGGTAGCATCACATTTAATTTAAGCTAATATAATGAATGTTAAACAGAAAAAAATACTAGAATTTGAGAGTAGTTTGTTAATAGTTTCAAAGTATATTATGATACTTATTGCATAAAAATAGTATATACCTATGTATTTCTCTTATCTTAAATTTACTGTCATTGCTAAAGATAAGATGAGTCTCAAAATCTACAATCGTGGGTACTGTCATGACACAGTATGACAGTGCTGCCTGCTAAAGGAGTTTATATGTTGCCAGTTTTAGACCAGGAGCTAATCACAAAAGTTTAAATATAATATAAAAGTTAAATAATGGTATTACTGTTTAGAATAAATACATGCATAATCTAACTGGAACTAATTGTAAAATGTAAGAGTGTAATCCTCATTTTAATCTACGTGTGTTGTGGGCAAACATTGATCGTCAGGCCATAATAAAAATTTTGTTTGTTTGCCCTCACCCGACCGACCTGCCAAAAAGGGGCCTATTCAAAAAAATTTATAGATCTTTCCCATTCTTTTTTTTTTACAAATTGTATCACTGTACCAGGCCTTGACGCTTATTTTCAGATCTGGTTGTCCTGTCGGGCAACAAGAAGCAATTTTTACTTGTCCGAATTTTGATTTTACTTGTCCAAAATTTACTTGTGCAATCTATGAGCCGTTAATGACCTCTTTTGGTTCAGTGCATATCATATTATCAGGAGTGTATATTTATATTATATAAATAGATCTATTTTATATTATATATTATATAAATACATATTTAAATATATATATATACATAAATAAGTTATAACATATATAGATAGATGTAGATATATATTATACACTCCTGATATTTTTGCGAGTACTCCCTGCATGCATATAGGCTCGCACATACCTATACATGTGTCTGCGTGCGCGTTTACGTGTGTGCGTGCGTGTGTATTGGTACACTTACAGTATATACCGTATTTACTTGTGTATAAACCGCGCTTTTTGTACACAACTTCAATAAAAAAAATCAGGGGGTGCGATTTATAGACGAGGCTAAGAAATCTTGTTAATGTACCAATGTTTGTACCAACTTTTCAATGCAAAATATGGGGTGAGACTTATAATATACATGAATTATACTTATACACGAGTAAATACAGTACATGTAAAATCGTAATGAAATTTACACGTTTATGTTTGCATGATGGCACGCTCATTGTGTGTCATTACCGATTACAGCTTTTTCCTCAATCACAGGAAAGAGTTTTGCTGTTGTCCTCTCATCCCAGCGATGCCCACCCCCTATATATTCAGTAATAAATATGCCTCAACCGACTTATATACAATCGTACCCCCAGCCCCGTAGATAAATCAATGCCGCCCCGGCCAGGGAGGTACGCATTGCCGCTCTGAATAAATCTGTAATGTAACAGTGGGTGTCCGGGCTGCTTTTTTTAGGGACCTTTGAAAACGTTTGAAGTGAGAATGTGGTGCGATAGCGCCCTTGCTCAGAGGATGTTAAGAATATTAAACAACTAGAACTTTTCATTGTCTGATGGGCAACTAGGCAAGAAAATAACTTGTCCGACATAGACTTTCACTTGTCCCGGGCAATCGGACAACCGTTAGTGTCGAGGGCTGTGTACATTATGTAAATCTGTAGGCAATACATTATATGTACCAAGCAAAATAATCATTCAACATAAAAGGTATCTCCACACAAGCACACCCGAGCACGTAGACACCATGCTGAATTTGAAAAAAGACCCCCCTCAAAAAAAGATTTAAAAAAAGCCTACCTACCTACCCAAACTTTTCAGCCTGGGTCGGGTGAGGGCAAACAAAGATTTTTTAAATTGTGGCCTCAACAGTCTTAAATAATAATAAAAATTCTAGTCAACACTGCTTTACATTTTTGTGGCATAATTTAAACCGACTTTAACTGAAAATATGCATTAAACCTAGATTATTTTTCCTTTGTAATTTCAAGCATTAATGGCAATATGATCGTATTTCTTAGCCTGTTTAATCTTATTGGATTAAACAGTAAAGTAGAGCGTGTAGTTGGACGTAATATAATTTTGTTGTACTATATCTCATTGCCGTTGTTTTATTCTAATGGAACATTTGATTAGATGGTATATGTGTGTTGTGGTAAATATTTGCTACCTAACACTTGCAGGACCCATCTCGACTACACTATGAACCATGGGAATTGCACATCTTTGAAAATATTGAGTGTGAATGGCCACTGTTTTATATCTATCTTTCACTGGATGGTCTTTTCCGAGGTAACCTTGAACAGGTAAACATTTAAACTGCATTTTAGCTTAGCATAAATAAACAGAAAAGAGGTACTGGACAAGTACGTGACAATGCACCGATTGGAAATTGATAGTGCAAAGTACATTACTCTGCTCGATTTCCTAAGGCAATCCGCTGCTATAAGTAACAGTGAAATGAGGGTGAGATGGTCAAAGTGGTTAAAATTTTTGATATAGCCAACCATCGAGCTTGTGTATGTTAAAGACTTGCATTTAAACTCATTTATGGTTATCTTGTATCTATTAGTATTCATTGCCTATTTCACATCCGTGTCCAGTTTGTGTGATGTGGCACTTCTTTATCAGTATTTTTTCTCCTTTTGAGGCGGAAGAATACTTTGAAGCCTTGGAAGATATCATGATTAAAACAGAGAATGGCCTGAAACTTCTACCAGAAATGTATGCAGTTCCTCCTGATAAGGTATGGTCGTCTTATTTCTTGGTATCAAACAGAAGTTTGCATCTTAACATAAGCTCATCATGTATTCAAAGAAGTTTGACCTTTCTAACTTTGTTATCATATCAACAGTAATATTTATAGATAAGTGTAACTGCTTATACATATTATAAGATGTAAAAAGTGAAATAGAACCTGATCATGAATGGCAAACACTTAGTAATTAAATTAAATCATTTGCTACTGTGGTGAGGAAATTTAAGTCGCTGGTCATGCATGAATGTGACAGGTGGAGGAGGAGAAAAAGAACCCGCACAGCCAAGAGAGAATAGCCGTCGGCAAGATACCGCAGATGTGGGGACAGTCTCTTTACATCCTCAATTGCCTGCTCAAGGAAGGCTTCATTGCAGTGGGTGAGCTGGATCCTATGAACAGACGACTCATCACTGACAAGAAACCAGACCTGGTTGTGCAAGGTAATGTGTGCGCTTTCTTGCACAGTGACTGTGATAGAGGTGTAGGGGTAGTAACGCGAATGTGTGCTAGTGCCACTAGTGCTAGCCACTAGACAAAGGTCCCTAAACCTTTTCAAATGTTTTCTTAGAGACACCTTTTCGTTAGGGTAAGCACAGGCCATTTAATGAACATTTGTGTTTTTATATGCATATACTTATGGTATATATATACATATTTGTTTTTTGCATGTAGTTGTAATTCTTGGGGACACCTTTTCGTTAGGGTAAGCACAGGCCATTTAATGAACATTTGTGTTTTTATATGCATATACTTATGGTATATATATACATATTTGTTTTTTGCATGTAGTTGTAATTCTTGCTGAGACGAAAAACATTCAGGAAAAACTAAGAGAGTATGATTTTGACGTGGAGACAGTGGCTGAGGTGCGACCAATAGAAGTTCACCCGGCTAGAGTGCTGAGTGAGATATTTGCTCAGCTTGGTAAGTAACTCGACTTATAAATCGATATAGTCTAGTGACAATCCAATCAAAACTTTGACTGTACATGGAGGACACATTGTCTACCATGTAGAGCACCAGTTGGGAATTTGAAACAATTTACCATTAAGCAAGGAATACCGGCAAGCATGTTCAAAGGATTGGGAAAACGAGAAAATATTACTTTAGTAAAGGATATTGATCTATGTCTATTATAGGTCTGTCTTTTTTATGCTGTTATATTAAGGATTTGTTTGAGTTATTGATCTGTAAATGGTAATGTCTCAACCTCACTATGACGATTGTACTGTCATTGCAGGGAAAAACAGGAAGCTAAGCTTATCAGGCCGACCATCACATGATGTTGGACTACTAAGCACAAGCAAGCTCTACATGTTAAGAGACCGAATATTCACCTTCACGCCACAGGTGACTATGCTCCTAGTGAACATGGAAGGAATTGCATTAGATAACATGCACTTAATTGTTATCAACTGGTAACGTGTATTCATTAATGATGTCTTATTTCGTCTTCGTTGTGAAAATGTGTGCGACTGCACCAAAACAAGTTTACACTCTGTGGGGAGGTTGTCTTTTCTTTGTATCAGAGTATGAAATCTGTAAGTGTCCTATAAGGTACCTTTCCGTTTTCCCGCGTTCAGCTTCACACTTCCATCTTTCCTGGCAGTTTTCCGATCCACACGAGTTCTACTTGGCGGCCGATGCGAATCTTCTGCTCGACATGTTTCTCACTGACATAGCATTTCTGAAGACGAGCTGGCGACAACTAGGCAGACCCACCATCACAATAGTGCTGCACAAACACATGTGGGGTGACATAGGTAGGCTGTTCGATAACTAATAACCAGTGTATATTCCTTGGCGCGAGATAGGTGAGCCATAGCGTAACTAGGGCCTATTGTATGAAACAAAATTGGTCTTATCATCAGTCTTAACATTATCTTTGTATCATAGACTTTGATAGAAACATGGTAAAGTTACAGATTTCTCATACACAGTGCGTAGAGGTCCGGTCTACAAGAAAATGGTAGTGCAAGGACTAATGCTAAGACAAATGTTCTTTCTGACAGTGAGCCCCTGAATTACAAGTGGGTCTATAGTAGGTTGATGAGCTAGTGAAGGGAGGATTGAACCAACTATTATGACGTTGTTAGTCAGCATAATTGAATTTCATCGCCTGGGTTAGCTGGAGGTAGCAGCTTGCCCGGGCAGGAGCAATGCACAATTATGGTGGGAGTTTGCAAACCTTGCCCATTTTAAGAAGAAGAATAATCCCTTCCAATAAAAAATGCCCAGCGCCAACCTGCAGTCGAGTCACAGGAGCAATGTAGCAATATTCAAGGTGGGGAGATATTCACATGATTCAGCTGTCCCTAACACATTCAAATGGAAAATTGGTGTCGATGTATCCAAAAATATATACATAACTGACAGCACCAGGTTCATCGTCATGTACAGTAAGCTGTTATTCATGTCTGTGGTAAAACTATGACCCTGTTAGTCATTGCAATAGTGACAAGCAGGAAGGCAGTAAACTGCAGTATCAATGCCAGTGACCCGGAGTTTGCTATGCCTACCAAGGTCTAAACTAATAAAAATCTTGCCCCCGAAATGAAATTGATTGATCGTAAAGTGAGAGCCCTCAAGTTATGTCGCAGTGTTAAATATGTGTAAATGAAATTTGGCCATAACGTACGTATTACTAGGCCACAGTTATAATTCGGAGGTAGTCAAAATGTGCAGTAGAAGAGGCTTCCACAAACTTTGCCATCAATATGAACGCTGTATAATAATGCCTATCCTGACTAGGTACAAGTTGTAACCTACTTGTATGGCGACAATGACCAAATGTTCTTACCCAATATAATGTAATAAAATAGTTTCAAACAGTGTTTGCTGCATTAGGTGTAATGTATGCAACAATTGGATACGCTAATGATATGTGGTCTCTCCGCATATAAATTTAAGCAACTTGTATTTGCAGATTTAAAGAAAAGTTTGCCTCCCGCTGTGATTGCTACACTCAAAAAGCTCAAGAGTGGCTATGTAACTGGGGCCAGGTATCGTATACTATATTAATTACATAAATATGTGAAACCTTCCCCCTTTTTACCTCTAGATCCGAAATAGCATATGAATGTGCTCCCCAATTTATATGGTATGTTATATGATGAGGGGATGCCGAGCATAAACTTGTTCAGACAATACTAACAACTGACTGAGCAATTTGTGACGTGTATATTATTCATTGTGAGTAATATCACGAACCCTGTTCTTGTCTTATGGTTATAATGTTCAGCTCTTGTAGGGTGGATCTCCGAAAAATCAAGGATTTCCTCAGCACATCCTGCGTTACTCAGTTGAATTTCCTCGCTAATACGGAATCCGGTGATATAGAAGGTGATTTTTGCTCGATCTCCACAGCGTGACTCGCTGTCTCGTGTTTAAGTATTTGAGTGTTGCAGTTCATCCCTGCTATTTTTAATAATTCAAATCTCTAAGGAGTGAGGCAGTGTAAGTGCATCCCGTTTACAGACTATAGCAGAATATATCAATATTCAATTGTATCCAGAGAATATGCGATACTATAGTACGCTGTAAGACGTTATACTGATGTGTGCTGACGGTGTTTCACCTGGCAGCTGGTATGAGCCTTCCGCATAGAGTGCAAATTGTGCATTTTAGTAGAACTGCTCTATCATGATGCTGCAGTCGTGCTATCTGGTTTATTAAGTAGCTATACTTGCAACAACTATCCTGAGAAGTGTGCAAGAGAAGATTTATTTGAGTTTCATTTGGAAGAGACGTCACACGCACTTGCCTTCTTTACATACAAATTTATCGATTGTTCGTTCTCAGGCACAGATGAGAGCGTGTTGGAGCTTCTAGACAAGATCACTAGGCAGAATGGCTCGCACCGACACGCACGCTTGCCTGTGCATCAGGGCCGAACACCGGGCTCCATGTGTCACCGAGCTTCCTCCGTGCGGGGCATCGTTAAGCGTACAAAGTCGATCGCACTGGACCAGGGCGATGGTAAAATAGACCTTCTTATCCACGCCGTGCCTTATGCTCCACTCGGTGCAAAACTACCCGATCACAAACAGATTCAATCAGGTTCAAAGACTCAAATTCTGATCTATTACGTAGACGGCCGGGCGGAAATGTTTATTAGCGATCGTAACGCTAGCAAGTGTAATCATGGCGCATGAGTGGTCAGTGATGAGGATGTTCTTGTGCAGAGGCCAACTACATGCGCAGCAGGTATGCAGCGAGGCAACCCAGCTTCTCAGCCACGCGTGAGCAAGACTCCATCGATGATGACGATTGCAACGTGTCGATACAGCTATTCAACGATAGCACGGGGTCTCGGAGACGCTCGTCTGAGTTGAATTACCCTCACCTTGACAGCCATCACATGAAACCTCCCCTGCCACCAGACAGGTCGTCATACTGCCTCAGAACAGAGGTCGGTTTTCAGCTTTAAGGGTGCAAGCCTTATTTAATATTAAACCAATATATTGAGGAATAATATATACATATATTTAATAATATAAATATATATAATATCTTGATGTGGCATTGTTTGGTAATTTTTGGACATGCCTAGACCATCATACATTGTGTCGGTCTGCTTCCCATTGTTGACCTAGCAGAGCGTGAGTGATAACATCACTTGCATGTAAACATCATGCATGCATCCCCGCACTGTAAGCAATATTGTCTTAATCGCATGCTTTTTACTTCTTTGCAACCCTTGGCTTGCCGTTCTCTTACGCTGGATCGTCGTGCGAATGGACGTGCTCGATAATATGCTTTGTGCCAAGAAGCCTATTGCACAGGTAGAATTATTCTGATACTTACTGCAGCAGCATGGTACTCACATGACACAAAATGTATAGATCAAAGCTTAGAACATGTGTAGAATACACTTAGAAATGTATACAATGTCTTATATTATTACACATATATTAGAACACTCACACATCATTTTCACCAATATGTGCACCGATTTGCATTTCAAAGTAGGTTTGATTATGTGTGTCAACATCAATAACACCCGATTGTCACATCTCATGAGATGCCATTGACTTGTACCCTATCTCCACACTATGTTACTTTTGGCTAGACGTCGAGATAGGGTACCAGTCTAAAACAATTTGCATCACATAATCAGATACACTTGTATTTGTGGCAGCATGTTCATATTTTATTTTTGCAAATCTGAGGAATGCAGGCACATTTGCAGGTTTACTTATCATTTGTTGTTTTATAGCCTATAACAGCACAAACTCATAGTAATTTGTATGCTGGAGTAGAATCACCAATATGTCTGCTAACAGGTGAGCCTAATTTCTCTACATAGACTGATTTTTTCGATTTTATTTTAGATGCAATAGTTTTAATTGCTTGTTGTTTGCTTCTTTGCATCCCTGGGTTTGCCGTTCTCTCATGCTGGATTGTCATGTAATTGGACGTGCTCGATAATGTGCTTTGTGCACAGAAGCCTACAGCACAGGTGCACGTGGAACGGATGGAAACTCTCTATTCTGGAATAAACCCAGAAGATCTGCTGGACATACTGCGAGAAGCTGCAAGCCTTACTGAGCAAGCTGATATCATTCACTATTTGTTTATAACAAAGTAAGTTTGGCATTAACTGAAACTAATGCAAAAATCTAAAGTATTGAAATCCGTTATTGTTGAACAACACAAAATGCCATGTAGAATAACTGTCCTATCTCCCTGAGAGATGCTGGCAGCCAGGTAACAACACCCTATTGGATATTGTTGCTAGGCTGGTGAAACTGGTCGTTGTTTGTTTGGGGTTTTACACGTCTGTGCACCAACATGTCGACTTTGTGGAAAGATCACTAAGCATTGTTATTAGAATGTCCCATCACAACACTGATTGGCTACAGCTGCTTGTCAATCATGCCAGGCAGATAGATGATTTGTAACCTATTTTAAGTGAAAATTATGTTAAAGCTAACTGTTAACCTGCCTTTTAACACGCGGCTGTTATCCTTTTTTATTGTGCAGGGGTGCAAGTTGGGATACCCATATTGATGGGAAGCCAGGTTGCAAGGTGAAAGACCTGTTGCAGGAACTATATGAAAAGGTAGTCTAACCTGACTGTACATGTTATGCTATTGACGTTTTGATTACCTATGTGTTGAAAACAGTATTTAAGTCTCTTCCAGGTGTTGCCTCAATAAAGTGTTGAAAAATTTCAGGTAGGGGTGCAATATAATTAAATTCTGCATTCCCATTATGCAGAGAACGTGTGTATAATTGTGTTGCAATGGTATATTACTCCTACACACCTGTCCTACTATTTAGTTATCGTGAGATGTTGTTCTCTGTGTAGAATTAGCATTGATAAAATGATAGTCACTGCCAGCCAGCCTTGCTGCCTTGTTTAGTACTATTTCGTATTACTACACACATAGATAGGCACACTGTGTTGATTGCTTTGATAAGTCCGGCAGATTGAATTGGTATAATGTGTCACAATCTTGTTATTATGTTAAATAGGCTTGTCATGAGAAGCACTGGTGGTTAGTCAGACACACTGCCGGTGTCCTAAAGAAACAGGTGGAAGATCTGGCTAAGGTGAGAGATAAGTTTATCTAAGTAGGCTATTGATGTGGTCAGCCATATACTTATGATTTATAGTACATGTGGTTGTGTGCAGCCTGTTATGACTGAAAGTTATGTATTGTTGCACATATCTTTGTAGACTAATGGTTTTCTAGGAGTTTAATTCTTTAATCTTATGTAGATGCATCCTTGGGTATTTCCTTGTTTCCTTCATTGACTAGAAGATTCTGTATCCAAGACCACAATTTTGTTATTATGTAAACCTTTTTACTGGGGCATTTGCCAAACAATCATGGTGCCATTTGGCAATGTCTAATTGGTCAACCATGCATAGAAAACTAAGTGGTTAATGAATTTAGAAGCCTGCTTTTTTTAGTTATGCAAAAGGGCCTATGCATTGTGTTTGCAAGTGTGTTCAGTGGTATTACCACAGTTAGTTCTAATAAATAGGATTATGAGATGTCTGACCGTAAGGCAGTGAGTGATTTTCCATACGTATATCTCCCACATACATCTGCAGGCTGTTACAGACCTGCTGGTCAGGCAGAAGCAGGTGACAGTGGGCATGCCCCCTGAACCAAGGGAACGCACGATTACGCGGTGAGTTGTCCTCTTACCTAATATAAGCAACTTTCTCTCCTCTGTGAAGGAAGGCTTATGGAAGTGATTGCTATATGGTGATAGCCTGCTTTGTGAGGCAAGCTGAGGGAGTAGGTTTAGCATACTGGAGTTAGTGGTGGAGAGAGAATCTGATCGATGGACTGTGTCACATGTTGTGATTCAGTGTTATTTAGAAGTATCGTAAATTGCACCGTCAAACGAATTTATGGTATTTTGAGTCGATGATTGGAATTGGGATCAATAGAATCATTGGGAGACATTCCTGTTCTCAACCAATATTCTTGTTGAGGTGGATAACAAAAGCATTGACTGAGTGATTCTCATCTAACCTGCTTGCAAATAAATCCGTTGTTACACGTACGGTTTTGTATTTAGGCCACTTCCTCCAGATGAACTAAGAGGAATCATTGCTGATGCATACGGAGAAGACAGTAGTACATCCATGTTGACACAGGTAGGCCATCGAGAATGGCATTCTATTTAAAAAAATGTAGGGTGTGATGTGATAGGGTATGAGGGGGCGTGATTTCATATTTGTAAGCAGGTCTGGACATGGCTGGCATTGTGGCTTAAGTTGATTGGTTTTGGTAAGATGAAATCAAAAAGGTGGGTAAACCAAGGGGCAGGCAAGTCAGTGATATGGCCCCAACTAAAAATGTGATTAACCGGGTTCTCTCCAGTACAGGCCTTTAATGCATGTCGAGTCCTTACATGCCTTCAAAGCTGAAGCTCATTTGCAATATCAGATAAATCCTTTGACATGCCTTAGTTGCATAATCGGTGTGCCTTAATTTCCAGCTGTGTTGTCTATTCCAACACGTGCTGTGCTTTCATAGTTTGGTGTATACGACTTCGAACTGATCGAGCCTACCTGTGTATTGAGGCCATTTATGACGCGCGTAATTGACTCCAATTGGTACAACCGTGGCAGCGCCCTTCTGGCCCTTTCCCCATCCGTCAACAAACGACATGCCTTCTGAAATTCATGGGAATAACCCTGATGAGTAATCTTTTACAATGTTTTACGTTGAATTTTGTACATGGAAATTCTGTAGAAGATGGCTTTTGAGGAGAAGCTATAAATTTTATATTGTAATGTGAACATTAATGAAGCCACCATGCTATTCATCGTCTTGCTCACTTCGTCCAGCCATATTTTATGCATTAAAAGCTTAATCATCTAGTCGTGTTTCATATGGTAAGGTAGACTTAATGAAACGCATGCCAATCGGTGAGTTGGACAAATGCATAGCATTTAATCACTGATCCTGTTTCGTATTTCTCTGCAGGAGCTGTTGATCTATCTGGCTATGTTCATCTGCACAGAGCCAGACCTATTTCGATCGATGCTGCGTCTCAGAGTAGGGCTCATCATACAGGTGATGGCCTCCGAACTCGCTAGGACACTCAACTGTGACGGTATATGACAATATGTAGGCGCTGTACTTGGTGGGTGGGTTGGGTAGGTGGATCTCTGCGAGGGTGGTGCCTGCATTGTAACTCAACTGTCATTTTTCAATGTTACATTTCAATTTTAAATGGCTAAAAAATACATTATAATGTGCTATTAAAATGAGCTCATAGGTATAAATTAAGAAAGCATAGCTAGGTAGACTCATTTGCACAACTTACCATATGTATTTGCATCGTAACGTTAGACACATCATCTCATTGGTGTGGTTCCAGCAGCCAATAACAGTGTGCCAATAACAATCTTTACAATCAACCATCTATAAGCAGCATTCAGTTTAAGCAGACGGTTTGTAGAAGGCATATTATAGCATGATCATTATATCTTTGATCATTTCTGATTCTCTTAGCAACAATCCACTGCAAAAAAATATTGCCTGGTTGTTTTGGCAACATTTGTTTTGTGGACCATACAGATCACTCTAACCCTCGGCCTATCTTGGGTTACATGGATTTTTCAGTCCACAATACCACATGTACTTACAATTAGGAGATGATTGTATAATATCAGGTGTAAATTGTGCTAATAGTGTAACTAGTGATAATAGTGTATGGATATGTTCATGCTAATATCAATGATCATAGCCTCAAACTCTTACCAAATAGTAGGTATAAAATATATAATGCCTTTTAAGGCGGTCTGTGCGTGTGACACTAACTTGGATATATGCGTTGAGTATGTGCATATGTGTGTTGCGTGTGTGCCATCTGTGTGTATATATTCCATAGTTAGATGTTTATTTGCATTCATGAGGGAATGTAACACTCAACAAGTAACTTTTATGGGAGTTATGTTGATTATTGTCAGTGCGAGCCTACCTTAATGACCTTGTTTATTTTAGATCATTCGATTGTTTGTTACTTAAAACTTAGTAAAGATTCATGGGTTATGTTCAGTTAAGCCTTGCAATTTATATTAAATTGAAAATGTAAACTGCAGTCGTCTGCACTGTCAACGGTGGTTGTCAATTTAGAGTTTCCGGTTGGGATTTCACTTGTATGGGTTCATTTGTAAGTTCTGCGTAAAACTGTAAAGGTGCTCTTTCTCATTGGTCCTCTGACATGGCTGAGCTATTCTAATGGCAATGCCAAAAAACAACACTCAAAAACTCAAACGTTAAATAACTGAATTAAGCTTCTAGATTGAATAGTTTTCTCCATTGACTGCCACTGATTTGTTTTGGATATAGGTAGGCTAGATAGGATGGTTTTAGTGACAGGTTTTAATAGGAAGGATGCAATTGCGTAATGTGTATTAAGTAACAGGCACACTTAGATCATTTGAATCCTCTGTACCCCTTTTTATGTATTTTCATGCAGTGTCAACTGATCGGTATAGGAGTTTTGATGGTGAGTCATGTCAGCTTCAATATGGGCAGACAAAAGCTCAAATCTGTGCCTGTTAATTAAAGTGAAATTAGCTTGTTCTGTTGTTGATCACATCACGTTTTTATAAATTGCTTATTATTGCCTGAAATTTTATTTCCCTTATTTATTCACTTACTGGGAGTTATTATAACTACACGTAAAGACCATTATTAGTATTATTGATGAGAAAGATTTGAGTCAGAATATATATTAGTAAGTGGAATAGATATTTTGAGGAACAAATGTTTGATCAGTTACTATAAGAGTTGCTTTAAAAGCAAATTTTTGAGTCTAGTGTGTATATTTAGGCATGTTGTTCCCCCGTAACACTATTAACTGCACTGCCGATTTACCAGCTAAAGGAAATACTCGCATTACTTTTGTTAATAACCTGTTATGGTGTCTTTTTTTTTAAAGGTGTTATTTTTTGGACTCGGCCTCTGCTAGCTGATGATTTATATTTTTTTTTTTGAAGCCAGCTTATATAGTGTGCTTTGTTTTAGTTTGTGTGAGTGGCTTAAAGTGTGTGTGTGTGTGTGTGTGTGTGTGCGCGTGCGTGCGTGTGTGCGTGCGGGCGTCAGTGCGTGTGTGTGTGTGTGCGTGCGTGCGTGCGTGCGTGCGTGCGTGCGTGCGTGTGTGTGTGTGAGAGTGCAGTGGGTGAGAGTGCAAGCATGAGGGCGCAAGGGCGGCTCCAGGGCCATTCTATATTTAGAATGAACGAATCTGGGTAAAATGCTAGGAGACCAAAGCTGCATTCTAAATGGATAAAATCAGTAGGGAATGAAACTGCTATGGCTTTCTCAAATGTCTGCCTGGTCGACTAGGTTCGCTGCCTGTTTTTTCTCTGGCAGCAAGTACTTGCTTGGAGATTTATAACCCTGCAATTGGGGGCCAATAACTAGCTCTACAAATAAGGAAATAGTATCTTTTGTAATTGGGGGCCAATAACTAGCTCTACAAATAAGGAAATAGTATCTTTTGCATTTTCAGCAGGAAATAATGTCTATTTATATATTTATAATATTTATATGATTTCTTGTAATATATTATACATACAGATAATGCTGTCTTTCATTTTTCGCTTTTCATCTTTTCACTGAAGAGAATCTACTCATTTTTAATAGATCATTCCCTGATGAATTAATGATGTTTTCCCTGAAGCCGGACTTAGGTCGGGTTGCGATTGAATGCGACATGACGCGACGCACTGCAACTCACTGCGACTGAGTGCTTAGGTCAACAGCGACGCGACTGTCAGCGACTGGCTGCGACCAGTCGTAGGCAGTCGCAGAAGGCGCTTATAGGTTGAAGCGACGATCGCCTATAGATCGCGCAACTAAATGAGTTTACATGACTTGTTGCTGTGTGCATGTTGTGTACATGCCTGTATGCACTGATTGTTTTATTCGCGTGCATTGTTCATTACGCATACGAATCTGGTCGCAGCGATCGCAAGGCTTGCGAAATTCTTGCGACCGGTGGAACCAGTCGCGTCGCGTCGCAAGAGTAGAACATGTGCGACTCGCTGCGACTGACAATTTTCTAGTCGCAGACCCGTCGCTGGCAGTGGCGATCGTTGCTGCGACTTGCAACCTGTTGCAGAAAATCAGTCGCAAGGCAATCGCGTTGCGTCGCAAGGCCGACCTAAGCCCGGCTTGATGGTAAGGTTGTAGCTCCCCCCTCTGGCACCAGCCCTGCAAGGGAAGGGCATGAAATCATCATAGGCAGCTCCTTTATTTTCCTTTTTTCCATTTCCGCCCTCGGGTGTGAGTTTATAAAGCCTGCTTGACATGGTTGGTAACAAGAAATAACCGTGACTTGTGAAGCCATTGTGATACTCCATCTTCTAGTACTCAGCTGTAACTATCAGCATTACACACAACACATGCATGCTGTTCATCCGAAGTGCTGATTACCAGCGTAGGCATGCAGGTTTTTTCTTTGAAGGTCAGCTGGAACTGTGTCACCTGCACTTTGTGAAAGTGATGTGTTGTGAATAAAACAGTGGTACTTGCAACAAAACATAGGTGAGGGGATTTCTGTGTAGTTAGCCAGGTGGAGAGTGACCACACACTTCTTATCGTTATGTATTTCCTTGATGCACAGGTGACAAGGCAGCCGAGGATCTACTGAATCTAAGTCCGTATGAGCTGAAGACTCTGCTGCACCACATTCTCAGTGGGAAAGAGCTACGTGTACACGTTAACGTCGGTGAGAAATTAACTCATTACTTTCCTACGGAACCTCGCCTATGCCGTGTTTACTTATAGAGGTTGCCAAATGTTTACTGTTATGTCTTGTAGAAAACCATAACATGCGCAGTTGGATACAGTTCGTACAACAATACAATGTAACTAAAGCCTGGCGCACACATTGCGGGTTTTTCCGTACGGTTTTTCCCGGTCCCACTCGGCGGGTGAATTTGGAGCGTGTGCGGTCTCATTATCCTGCGATTTTTACCCTGTGATTTTTCCCGCAAGCGACCGGAGCATATCAAGCTGAATTGATATCTTCCGGTAAAAACCGCACGGGTAAAATCGGACCGCAGCGTGTGCGGTGGTCAGCGGGAAAAACCGGTTACACGGGCCAATCTGCATCCTGCAAAAATCACATGATCGAAAAAATGGCAGCGTCCATAGAAGTCGCGCAGTTTTATACTACAAAAACGAACTCTGTCTATGCATTCTGCCGTTTATTGGTTTAGGATGCCCAAAATTGGCACACTGTTAGTTGATCACCTTTAGGGTGCCCAAGCACATTTATTAGGTTACACTAAAAACTAATATTTAAAAGCAAGTAAAATGTTAAAAGTACAAACACTTTGAAATGGCTGTTGTTGTCGTGGCGCGCAATGCATTTTGGGAAGACTAGCACCGCATTTGTCCCGATTTTAATCGGTAGCCAGCGCACACGGTGTTGCGTGTGCGGGTTACACCGATTATTCCCTGCGAGAAATCCCGGCGATAAAAACCGTAACATAGCGTGCGTGTGCGCCTGGCTTAAAAATAATATTACAAGCAAGCGAGGTGAAGATGTTACAAACTTGTATGCATGCACCACACACTGCTGTTGGGTCTCAAACAACGAGTTAACTGCACACCGGCATGCGGCTGTCTGTAAGACACAATTAAAGCCATCTCTCGGAATTAGAAAAATTCATCTAAATTTAAATGTAATAAAATTAACAACGGTATTACAATGGCTAATAGTGGATTTAAATCGGTTACGAAGACTAAGTAAATACAACGGTGTCACGATCCTCCTGAATCACAATTCTAATTGATATCGAAACTTCATCCTCAAGACAATACGATATGTATATTACATCATTGTCATGCTTGGATTTCATTTGTCCATAGAGGCTGACAATGATAACGAGGTATCCCTGAAAGAATCCAACAAAGAGGAAAACCTTGGAATGAGACAAGTTAGAGATGAGATCAATGTAAGTGTTCCATTCTTCTTAGGTGAATGTTTCTCGAGCTTTGGCTGTCTAATGTGACAGTTGTGTTTCCTAAAAAAATTGTGACAGTTGTGTTTCCTGTGGTGCCTTACAAATTGCAATGCATATTGGCTATAAGATTTCCCTTGTTTGTTATCATTAACCAGATGTTATATGTAGTATTATTGGATTATATCACTATCGATCGTCATGCATCGTATTTATTATTTCTTAGTGAAAACATTTATGTACTGTACGGATGAACTGGTTCCAAAACAGCATTATTGTAATGTTTTCATTTTATTTAGGACACTCATAAAGTTTCCTTCGTGTCGTTTGGTTCGTCGAAGAAATCTGGGTCAGGGCTGAGTGAAGGTGATATCTGCAGGCAAGGTCAGTGGCTTCGTCGTCGTCGTCTAGATGGTGCCCTCAATCGCGTGCCTTACGAGTTCTACCCAAAACTGTGGAAGGTTCTTGAAAAGGTATCTATGTAGACATGTGCTTTGTTCCATGCTTACTTATCCATCATAACATGTTGTGAAATCGCTGGATGACTGTGTATTCTACATCTCATATATTGTATGTTGCATCTATAATGTATAAAAGTAAATAGAAGTCTGTATTCCATATTTCTTTGCAGTGCCATGGCTTATCCATTCAAGGAATGGTTCTTCCACAGAGTTTGACCCGAGAGGTTAGATGCATTGTCCACATTTATTTGCTGTGTTGTATTTATTGAATTATTGGTAGTGATTATTTTGAATTCATATCGACATTGATGATAGTGCTATCATGATAATCATAAACAATGTTTTATCCTTGCAAGATATAAATGTATCTTAACAACTTAACAACTGTATTACTCAATTCTCGCCACATGGCATTTGAGAAAGATGTAGTCATAAATATTGCGATCTTCACATATGATGATCTTCTCTACCAGAAACATCCACTGCATTGTGTTGCAGATGACGCCCGGTGAAACAAAATTTGCACTGCAAGTGGAGGCAGTACTGAATCGCATCCCACAGCCAGAGTACAGACAACTGATGGTAGAAACACTCATGGTCCTCACACTGGCTGTAGAGGCAGACAAGAAGTGCAGTCTAGGAGGCATCATACAGGTGGAATACTTGGTCTCCGAGGCTAATCGAATATTCCTAGCTGAACAGGTAAGGACATGAAGTGTAACAAAACGTGTGGTTGCACGACGAGTGATGTGCTTTTAATTAGATCATGTGCTTCCAGATTATTAGTATATACTATATAATCATTTCAGCTGTATTAAACTCTTAAAAATCATAAACTGAATGATCTTATTATTATTTTGCAAGTACATATTTCAAAGCAGTCTACCACAGTCTCGATGCCTCAATGTTACTCAAATGCGGGATTGTCCATTTATACGTGAATAACACTGAATATCCTGCGTCTCAAATGTCATGACTTATACTGCTGTGGACTCTTATTATGCTAACTCTAACATTGTGGCTGTTGCAGTTACGAGTGCAAGGTGATGCCACGTTGTGCTGTGCAGGCCCCCATGCAACTGTGCCGTTGCCAGGGAAGCCTCCTGTTTTGAGGTGTGGTGGCAAGGCTGGCATCTGCCAGCTGTTTTATGACAGCGCCCCTAGTGGTCGATTCGGCACAATGACATACCTGTGCAAGGCAGTTGCCCAATCGCTCAACATATTCCCTGCCACTGGAGACTTGGAGTGTGTGATTTCCTAGAGTTCGTTCTCTTCTGCACACGTGCTTATGAGGGAGCGAGAGAGTAAGTCCTAGTCAAATGCTGGTGTCACAGCACTAACTTAGAAATATATAATTTCTGGTCAATTTTCTAAAGATGTCAGGTAACCCAGTTAAATACTTAATTTAATTAGCATTTAATAATGACAATCCTATTTAATAGACTGTACTGCGGATATCGAATGGTTTTTATACATTATATGGGTTTAATACAGCAGCGCAGTACGAAACGTCATACAATTTATATGGGCCATCGATTGTATGTTGGATGTTATAAGGTATGACCACTATATGGGGCTAGTTACTGTACTTCGTTAATAGTAAGTGATGAAAAGAAAACGTTTACTATTTCATTTTTGCTTTGCTCCGGAGTTTTCTTCTGGTATGTGAACCGTGTTGGACTTTTCCAGTTAAACGTTTGCTGGTTCAAGTAGGGAACTCGTTAGTAGATTGTACCTCAGTGCTACTTATGTTGGCGGTACTTATGGTACTTGGTGTTTTATTACTTAATATACGTAAATATATGATTGCAGATCGAGTTGTATTATAACCCAACATGCAGAATAATTTCTTTTGGATGCTGAGAAACGTAGAGGTTGTTACAAGTATGTCGATGAAAATAGAATGGTAGGTTACGATTCTTTTTGTGTGATACATGTAAATCTAATGCCCTAGTCGAGAGATTTTAATGCTTCATCAAAACATGTCCCTGTTTTGTGGGTCATGGGCAAGTAGCTTATAATTATGTGAATCTGTGGATATGTTCACAATTCTGACAGTTCATATTTAGCATTCTATATTCTGTTAATCCACCTACGCTACAATCGTTTTTCTCTATGATTATTGTACTCCAAACTACCCTAGTGCCTCCCCAGTCCAACCCCTTATTATGCTCTCTTTGGCACAAAAATCGTGCATATATAATATTTATGCAGGTTTATGTTTGAATGAGCAGTAAAGGTATCTTTAACTAGTGACATGTTCTAGTGTCACAAAGTTGCACATCTACGCGCACAACTGCGTTATTGTGATGGATTATGATTTGCTGTGTAAATGTTTTCACGCAAGGTGTTTCCGAATATCGAATTTTATTTATCAGGGTTGTTTTCTTAATTCAGATTTTAGCGTCAGTTTTTTTGGCGATAGACACAAAAATGCTGGTGGTAGTTTTTTGTGTGACAGTTTGTGATGTTCCCTCACAGCCCGTCATATTTGCACGAGTTATGAAAAAGATTTTTGCATTGGAACGTGCAACTGAATTCAGTGGTCTTCATTGGGCTGTTTATTGGAACACATTTGGCAAGTATTTATCTGTAATTTCAATACAAACGATTTAGCAAGAAATAGTATTAGTTATTCCCTGTCAACTGACATTGGCCTTACTGGATTTGGCTGTATGTATCCATACTGTGAACCTCATTGTAGATCTCATTGCACAGTCAATGGGTATGCTAACTTAACTCTGAAATTGCAATTAAAATTTGTCTTGGTTATATCTATATATGGTTTTCCTTATTTTTACTTTGATTTGAGGAATGTTTGTGTAGAATTTCACGTACATTATGATTATACCAATAAATTTCCAGGGCACAACAACTGGTTTATATTATATGTATTATATAAAAGTAGTATGTGCCTACATATACCTGTCATTCCATATTGGAGTTCTCTATCTTCTTCTTTGGTTAATTGTTAAATTGAAACTTTCTACTGAAATCTGCAGTGTTGTTCTATCTATTTTATCACCTGATTTTATCAAATTAGACTCTCCATCTTCGGTATAGTCTTTTGGGCTTTGAAGACTAATAATCCTTACAATGCTACGAGGTTATTTCTGTCATCAGATTTGTTCATGAACAGGTCAGATTGTGTATATGTGTCTATCTGACACCGTGGGACTGTGCTGTCAGTCTCCTGACGAAGTTGTGCATATTTTAGAATGGGAGCGAATTACAAAAGTGCAATTATTTCAGGAGTAAATAAAAACACTGCTATGGCGCGCCTATCATACTACTATATTACTACTATTCATAACGCTACTATATAGTGTATACACCGAGCTGTACATTGCTATTATATACAGCTCAGTGAATGTACATATGATATCTATAATCTATGGCTATCACTTGATCCGTGTGGTCAGGATCATATGGTCTGCAAAGTAGTGCTTTTAAATCTTCGTTTTGCCTGTTTTAAAATGTGAAATCACAAAAGTGCAATCATATTTATACTAAACTACTATTTATCTGGAAGACCTTGCTTAGAATAAACATGCGTAATTTAAATGAAACTATTGGAAAAAACTGTAGTAGTAGATACTGAATTCCTTAGCCAAGCAAAGTTTAGAAACTTGAAGCAAAACTTAGTTTAACAAGGTTTAAGCTCAAGTTTAATTATTAATGTTAGATGCATTTTGCACATCAGACTTTGTACTGTTGACATCGCATATAGCGTCCACCATACATGATCCTGTTGTGCAATGTGCATGTATTAATTCCTTACAGTTGCGTTTGCATGGCGGTTGATATAGACAATGTTACACACACTGAAAACATTTCTTACGAAAGCTATTTAGACATTACTAATTGCCGATGGCCCAACTTGGTAAAGAAGTAGGTCATTATATGATCACTAATAGGCCGAGGTATTGTTGAATATATTCAATTAAATACCCCTATCATTAATTAACTGCTGTATTTAAACAAATAAAGTGGTAGTGGATCCGTAATCAGTAACTGTAATAAATCTTTATTTACAGTAACAGTTGTTTATGGTAATTTTTATTTATGTTTTTTTACCAGCGCCGTATAGACACGAAAAACACATTTTGCAGTAACATTAGAGTGGGAAAAGCACATACAAATCCAGCTCATTGACTTTCCATCAAATATACCAAATGATTTTAAGATTAACATCATCTTAATTATCAATCACTAGAAAGGTGATAAAAAGGTGGCTGTGTTTACTTACTTCTGCTCAGCCACAATCTTTATTACAAAATCCACACCTCACTGTAGTTTTACTATGGAAAACGTTTTAATTACTTCAAGTAGGAAGTCGTTACCAATACTACAAAGCACTTTAATAGAGTACAGCACGATTTACACAGTGAACATATCAGCTGTTCTGTCTTGATGCCAGCTTACTCTCATCATGTCCCATCAGTTTTACAAAAATCATCACTATAATGGACAGCTGATTAAACATTCAAGTCTGAAAATATGTGGGAACCATAGCACAGTGTTTAGGGGGTTCAGCACAAAAACGTTAACAAATTATCGCGCTTGCAAAAATTACCTTGATGGTGGCTGGCTTCCAGTAAAAGCATCTCACACTTGTCTTAATTTCTAAATCTATAATATCTTCCATATCTGCTCCATCACATTAGGCATTCCAAACATATAATTACACTCCTGATATTTATAATGAAACCATTTTTATTGAGACTCTCTCTCTCTCTCTCTCTCTCTCTCTCTCTCTCTCTCTCTCTCT